TATTTTCATAAGATACTGGGAGCTTATTGTCCTGACTACAGTTATTATCCCCCCCCTCCCGCCAAAGCTATGGCAACAAAAAAAATTAGTAGATATAATATATAAAGTACATAAAATCAGTTCATGCAAAATAAATCAATGTTAACATATTATCCTATTCTTGTCTTAAGACTTTGTTTATCGCATACTCTGTTCATGCTATTCTCAATATCCAGTCCATGATTGGTTAAAAATGATTTTTTGCAAGATTTTTGTAAGTGTGTGTTATTTTATCCAAATATAAACATCGTATTTTCTTTTTTTAGGGTGAAGAGAGCAGCAGTAGTAGTAGCAGCAGCAGCAGTAGTAGCAGCAGCAGCCCTGGCTCAAAAGACAAGGAAGAACCAATGGAGACTGATGAGCCTGTCACAAAGAAAGAGAGAGAAGGAACAGTAGAAGAGGAAAAAGAAAAAGATGAAGACAAAGAAAAAGACACAAAGATGGATATTGATGATGACAAAGACCTCAAAACAGGTAATTGCTGTTGCTACTATTTCTTTTGCATACATCTGTTAGTTTTTCTTTATTCAAAAATTTGTTTTGGACTTTGCAATTCTTGAAAGGTTAAGAATAATTTTTGTCTCAGTGCTCTTGCTTTTTCAACTGAAAAAGCATGTTGAACTGGACGCAAAGTATCGCAGTCGTGTGCAAGTCAATGTCTTCACAATGTATGTGGTATTAACCAACCAATGGGATTAAAATTTTCAGCATATCTTTTTATTCAGTATACCATGATTTTCAGTTTTTCATATCTAATTATAAAGAAATAATGAAATCTTGTTTCAGCATTGCAAAGTGAAATGTACATTTTTATTTATGAATAAAACAAAGATGTCAACCATAGAAACAGATTTGCTTAACACACTCACTCAACCAAAGTGCAAATTATTACATGTTAATATGGACTATTGTCTTTGTTTTGAATTTAACATTATTAGTAACAATTTTTAGTTCTTTCCAGAAATCTTTGTTGCTTGAATATTGGTTTCCATTCTCATATACTTTTAATGGACCACCAATATTCTATTCTATTCAAGTTAGGCTGACACATTTCTTTTTTTTTTTTTTTTGTCTTTGAAACCGTAGGCAAGAATATGAAGGATAATTGTCTTGCATGAATCTACTCTTTAGCTTGAAGCTTTTTAGCTTTTTTTTTTTTTTTTTGTACCACTTGAAAAAAATGTCTTTCTTTTCCAAGCCCTTAGATTAATGCTCTGCAATTATCTCTGAAGGAACATAAAAAATTTCTTTTACTACCTACAATGCTAGCTCAAGACATTTTGACCTCCTCACTCACTGTTTGTTTTTTAAGTTGTTGCATGACCTTCCATGAAGGACCCAGCTTTTAGGTTAGTGTTTCTCAACTTTATTTTACACTTGTGGAAGCCTTGAAATAATTTTCATGTCTCTGAGAACCCCTGCATAAAAATTTTTAATCTATTATACTTTCATTGTAGTTCAGGTGGTAAACATATATGTGATTGCTTACTTCCTCATGAATGTTTTAAAGAAGCTTCAGACAAGTAATGGAATTGTTGGTGTTTTTCTTTTTTTTTTTTTATTCCCCCGCTGTCCAAATATTTTAGAAGTGTCAGAAGACAAAACAGGGACAGATGGAAAAAATGACTCCAAGGCTGATGACAAAGAATGCAAGATGGAAACGGAAGAAAACAAAGTGAAGAAGGAAGAAGAGAAGAGTGAGAAGAAAGAGGACGACAGCAAGAGTGATAAGAAGGAAGATGATGAAAAAGAAAAAGATGAAAAAAAGAAAGGTGAATATTTGTCAATGTGACACTGATGGGCATTGAAAAATTTTTTTTCTTTTCTTCATCTACTTGTTTTTAATTTCTAATTTTTTTTCTTATAGCATGTTGAAAAGACTAGCAAGATTTCTGATTATCTTCATAAATCACTTTCCGCTTTAATCTCTTTAACAAGAATACTGCAAAGAGGAATGAGGTCAATTCTTGTCAATACAGTGGGGTAAAGTCATTGTGCGCATGTGTGTGTGTGTGTGTGTGTGTGAGTGTGTGTGGTGGTCTGAAAACACACACACACACTTTTTTTTTTTTTTTTTTTGTCTGTGTTGGTGACATTGTTGCATTGGTGAGACAGGTGCCAGTGTTTTGGTTACAGCACTCATAAATTGTTTGTAAAATGATTGTGTCAATCTCAAAGGAAAAAAAAAAGGAAATGAAAATCAACCTTGCTATTTAACCCATAGTTGGGGGTAGGGAAGAAAAATGGATTGATGCTTTTTCCCAAGAGCATTAGTGCAAAAGTGAACACAACAGATTTGTTTGGAATTTGAACTTGCCTTCATGTACTGATAACCATTACATTACCTGTACATTATAATGTGTAAGAATGTATGTAATTTTCAAGGTTTTACACACAAGAACATTATTAGTAAGGATTTAACAAAATGACATCACTTTTCAGGATCTGGATAACAAGATCCTAGCATTAGAATTTGTTAATTTGGGAGAGATGAGATTTATCAGGGATTTGTTGACAGTCCCCTCTTTACATAAGAGACAGGGTTAAGTTTTTTCTAATAGACATTCAATAGCTTTGTTGCAAAGTAGCTTCATAGCCAAAATGAATGGCGTTTGTCAATTGGAGATTTCTCTTTTTAAATCTTGATGTTTCCCAAATCTGTTTGGGGCTAATAAAAGAATTGTAACCGACTTGTGTTCAAAATTTTAATCTACCTGAATTGCAAATCCCTTCTCTCTCATATATTTCCAAGTGGATAAAAAGACAGAGCAAGAATATAATATAAAAAAAGCTCAAACACTAATATTTCATGGTTATAATTTATTACATGGGAATCATAATCATTATATATATATATATATAAAAATCTGGTCCTTTCAAGATTTTATTTGATTTCATTGTTTTTGCTCATCAAAATTTTTCTTTTGTTTCCTCACCTCCAAACAGAAGAAAGCGATGATCCAAGTGGGAATCAATCCCAAACGCCACCCTCACCTGTGGATCTAAAGAAAGAAGAACAGAACCAGAAATTCATGTTCAACATTGCTGATGGAGGTTTCACTGAATTGCACACTCTGTGGCAGAATGAACAACGCGCTCTGCAACCAGGCAAAGAACATGAAGTCTGGCACAGGCGCCATGACTATTGGCTGCTGGCCGGCATTGTCACGTATCCTTTCAACTCTAATTTCTTTTTTTCTTTATTGCTCATCTTTAAGTTTTGGATAAAGAATGTAGATATCTTGGATAATTTGTGAATCCTTATTCTTTTAATGAAATCATGGAAAGACTCCATACTTCTCTTGGAGGTGACCTGAGTTGGATATTTGATCCTGACCTTGATGGTGACTTAGGCGTCAACTGCTGAATCCATGTGCTACTGTTTGTCTCTTCTTTTTTTTTGTGGTTTTTGTTTGTTTGTCTGTCTGTGGCTTTGTCTGTCTGTCTGTCTGTCTGTGGCTTTGTCTGTCTGTCTGTCTGTCTGTGGCTTTGTCTGTCTGTCTGTCTGTCTGTGGCTTTGTCTGTCTGTCTGTCTGTCTGTGGCTTTGTCTGTCTGTCTGTCTGTGGCTTTGTCTGTCTGTCTGTCTGTGGCTTTGTCTGTCTGTCTGTCTGTGGCTTTGTCTGTCTGTCTGTCTGTCTGTTTGTTGTGTCTGTCTGTCTGTCTGTCTGGCTTTGTCTGTCTGTCTGTTTGTCTGTCTGTCTGTCTGTCTGTCTGTCTGTCTGTGGCTTTGTCTGTCTGTCTGTGGCTTTGTCTGTCTGTCTGTGGCTTTGTCTGTCTGTCTGTGGCTTTGTCTGTCTGTCTGTGGCTTTGTCTGTCTGTCTGTGGCTTTGTCTGTCTGTCTGTGGCTTTGTCTGTCTGTCTGTGGCTTTGTCTGTCTGTCTGTGGCTTTGTCTGTCTGTCTGTCTGTGGCTTTGTCTGTCTGTCTGTCTGTGGCTTTGTCTGTCTGTCTGTCTGTGGCTTTGTCTGTCTGTCTGTCTGTGGCTCTGTCTTTGCTTTGTCTGTCTGTCTGTGGCTCTGTCTGTCTGTCTGTCTGTGGCTCTGTCTGTCTGTCTGTGGCTCTGTCTGTCTGTCTGTGGCTCTGTCTGTCTGTCTGTGGCTCTGTCTGTCTGTCTGTCTGGCTTTGTCTGTCTGTCTGTGTCTGTGGCTTTGTCTGTCTGTCTGTGGCTCTGTCTGTCTGTCTGTCTGTGGCTTTTTGTCTGTCTGTGGCTTTGTCTTCTGTCTGTCTTTGTCTGTCTGTGGCTTTGTCTGTCTGTGGCTTTGTCTGTCTGGCGTGTTTTTTTTTTTTTTTTCTTTTTTTTGGTTTGTGTTTTTGTGTGCATTCACTATTTTAGCCAGAATATTTCAACAAAGGACCTATGATTCGTGAGTCTTTTTTTGTGTGTGCCTTTTTGTTCTCCTGAGCTGCTTGTGATGCTTTGTTGCAAAGTTGTCTGATTTTCAAGCCAAGATTGTCCTGCACACTCAGCAGATATCTTATGCATGGATGCTGTGGGGGTCCTTTTCTTTTTTTTGGGCTTGATGTTGTCCTAATTCAGCTTGTTAACCTTTTGAAATTTTAGACAACCAGTCTCCCTCTTGAACAAGGTGGTTGTAGTTCCTTGACTGCTGCTTTTGTAGGCATGGCTATGGCCGTTGGCAAGATATCCAGAACGACATTCGATTCCAGATCATCAATGAACCATTCCAGAGTGAACAAGGCAAGGGCAATTTCTTGGAAATCAAGAATAAGTTCTTGGCTAGACGCTTCAAGGTCAGTATGGCACACTTGTTTGTCCCCTTCTCCTCCTCCTCCTCCTCCTCCTAATTAGTCTTATCTGAAAGATTCTCTATATTTGTCTTATTTTCTTGGTTTCTTTATTGCCCAGCACTTGTGAAAGCTCACAAAACAACGGTCTGATTTACACATCTGATATTTGTAAACATTTCTCTAATCTTTTATTTTGGGGGTTTTATTTTAATCTTAAACCTTTCATTTCTTGAACATCTTGTATTGATTTATGTGTGTTTCCTTAAGCTCTCTTTTATTGGAATATCTTTTCCTCCCTCTCTTTCAGCTGCTGGAGCAAGCTTTGGTTATCGAGGAACAACTGCGAAGGGCTGCCTATCTCAATCTGACCCAAGATCCCAACCATCCTGCCATGGCACTCAATGCTAGGTAATGACTTATTTTTTTTCCCCACTGCAATTGTTTTACTGCATTTGCACTTAATCATTGGTCAATAAGTGGTGCACACAATGTTTTTAATCTGGTATGAGGCCACTCTATTGATGTACTCGATGAAAATGATATTTTGTTGGAGAATTAGTCCCTAATATGAATTTGCTAAGTACAGTAAGTTGGTCTATACTGATATTAGCTTAGTCTGGCACAAGGGAGAAGAGGTAGGAAGATTTGTGTTGCAACCATTTTTTTTAGTGACAACTGTTTTGCCTTGAAAGTTGTCTAACAAACCATTTCTTTTCCCCTCTGATTGGTGCTCAGCAAGTTCACATTGTATATTATGGTCTTTGAGATTGTGAGCAATGAAAGTCATATCATGCTGTCCCACTTCTTCCCAGAGTATGTCAGGGGATGCCATGTGCATTCCAGCAAAACACTACTGTGTGACTCAATCTCTCTTTCTGTTTCTCATATTTTAATGATCATGTTGAGGCAGACAGTCTTCAAGGTTTTATTGAATAACTGTTTTTCCTAACTTGAACATGTATACTTAATTTTTTTTTTCTCTGTGTGTAATGAAATGTCTGTCCATTATATTTCAACTTCAGCCAACATAGGTCCTGCTATTTGACAGATCTTCAGTTTCAAAGGCAAGAATGACTGTAAAATGACACTTGTGTTGTGTTTAGAGAATGGATAGTTAGGTTGAAACCAATCCGTACGTACTTTTTGATTTGGTGAGTGGGGTAAGTTGGTAATAGCTGAAGTGAATAAAATCTTTTAAAACTTAATTTAATATATTTTGTGATATTTGCAATGATAATCCAATGTATATGTAGATTGTTGGGTTGTCTTTGTTGGTAGTCTTTTTTTTTTTTTTTTTTTTCACACATAACAGCCTACGTTCTACAACTTAAATCGTAACTCATATTTAAAAAAATTTTCACCTGAAAACATTTAATGATTGAATGGAATTCTAAAGTTGCAACTTGTGGCTTGCAAGATGTTTTGTATCATCCAGAGTAATGATGTAATACTTTTGAGTAGTACTCTTGGGTATGGCAAAGTACATCTGGTAGCAACTCTGATTGGGGGGGTTTTGAGAATTGTGCATCCACCTCTTAGTTGCTGTTATTGTCCCAGTTAATGGGCAAAAAGTGATTGGACCCCCCCCACACCAAACAAAACAATGTGAAGGTATAAAAAATACCAGCAATACATTTTTATATATATATAAAAAAAAAAAAAAAATTACTAGCACTACATATAGTAAAATTGCTGACAATATGCACAAACAGATTGTAGCAACTTCACCTAAATCCATTTAAAATACTACTAAACAACCAACCTGAAAGAACTTTTATGACATTAATGTATATATCCTACAATTTCTTAAATCAAACTGTATTCCAAAATGAAACTACAACATAAAACATATCACTGTCTCTAGTAATTATGTTCACACAAACATGTATATGCACAAAAGCTGAGTATCATCTACCAAGTATTCAATTGTGAAAGCAGAATAACATTTTTATTACTTTCAAGCTCCCAAGAAAATTAAATTTAAATATTAAATGAGCCATAAGTCGCTATGCCATTAAACAGACAAATCACTCTTTTGAATAGATAATGTATTTTGGGAAAGTCATTTTCACATTGTTTCACATTGGCTACAATGGATTGGCAAATGGACAGCATGTAATTCTTTGCTTCTTTCCAAATGTCAGTGTTACATGATATTTGGTTTCATTCACTCATTATTTCTTGTAAATAAACTTTCCTCAGATATTTAAAATTATTCAGTTACATTTATCACCACGTCTGATAGAAATTCTATTAAGGAAGTTTTCTATTACATCAATATGTACATTTAACAACAAACACAATGCAGACTCAACCTTGTAGGTAAGAACCAGACCGATGATAGAAAAAAAAAAAAAAAAACCTTGACTATAGTTGTCTAGAGTAGATAAGTTTTGTTCTGAATAATCGACTGTTGAGAGGAGGCTGTCTCTAAATGTGGATGGCAGTTGTGCTAATTTGCTTGAGAATGGTAATGCTTGGTTGCAAACAAATCCTAGCTGATCTGTGATTGTAGTTACACATAAGACTGACATTCTTTTATTCAGTGCTGGTTGTTTGGCTAATACTGAAAGTTGAAAGATTGCTATTTGAATTTTTATCTGCATTTTTAAAAGCAAACTTCTTTTCTATTGTTCACTTTGAAAAGACAGCTAAACAAGATCTCTGTAATGTCTCAACATTTGTTATTTTACTGATTACTTTGTTGTCAGTCTTACCTGTTGTCTAAATATTTGTCAATTTTGGCTATTTCTTTAGGTTTGCTGAGTTGGAATGCTTGGCTGAAAGCCACCAGCATTTGTCTAAAGAATCTCTTGCTGGAAACAAACCTGCCAACGCAGTTTTACACAAAGGTAAGTTTGCTTTAACTCTCTTTGAGTTATTTTGGTATAGCAGGTTGTCTTTTTTTTTTTTTTTTTTTTTTTTTTTTTTTTAATCAGCCACTTATCATTTTCATCTTTGAGGTAGATTTCTTTGACAATTACTATTATTTATCAATAAATTCTAAATACTGAACCAATGACTAATTCTTATTAAATGACCCTTTTGACTATTTTTGTTACATTATCGTCTTTGCAGTTCTCAATCAGCTCGAAGAACTGCTCAGTGATATGAAGCAAGACGTGAGCCGTCTGCCTGCCACCTTGGCCCGCATACCCCCTGTGACCCAACGCCTTCAGATGTCTGAACGTAACATCTTGAACCGGCTGGTGAACCCTGGTCAGACGACCACGTCAGCACCTCCATCAGCTCCACCTACCATGCCACCTCAGCAGAGTCCTGCTGCTACACCAACTCCCACATCTGCTGTTTCGGCCCAGTCGTCACCACAGGCCTCTCCTTTCATGAACACTTCCAACTTCTCGTCTCCATACCCGACCAGCGTCCCTACCTACCGACCACAGTATGGTATGCCACCTCAGGGTAGGTAACAACTTGTGTGCGTGTCATTTCAACCACAATCTCCATTCCCTCCTCATTCTCTTCCAACTGTGGATCCCACACCTCCCTCTCCTTCTTTCTCTGCCATTGATCTGGGGATTCCCCAAATACGCCTCCTCCCCCACCCCCTGCATATTTGGTCTTTCAACAACTCTACAACTTCTTTCTCACCTAATGCTGCTTTCCCACATGGCAGTGTTTGGGTGGAGCACACCAAATATATTCTTCTAAATCCGATGTTTGTGTGATTCACAATATCTTGCTCTGGGTCCAAACAGAAGCTGGTTGTCCATCTTGGTATTTGTCTTTTTTTTAAACCCCATGATTTCACTTCAAGTGAACGATTTCAATGGACAATGTAAAATAGGAAATTATTTTTTAAGAGCTTTTGCTTTCTCTTCAACTTAAATAAAAAAAAAAAAAAAAATTCTCCATGTAATCGCTATTTTTAATCTTGATAATGTAAATTTCACTTTTTTTTTTTTTTTTTTTTTTTTTTTTCTTCCAACCCATGGACATTTGTCTGCCTTGATAACGACAGATTTACTCCTTCCAAATATTTTTTTTATTATTGTAATTAAACAAAAACAAGCAATTGAACAAAGTGGACTATTTTTAAGCAATGAAAATAGTATTTCTGAATGCTTGGAATGAAGTTGTTGGGTTTGATTCGAAAGGCCAACTTTTTTTTTTTTTTTCTTTGTCTTTTGCTAAAATGGAATTGCCTCTCCCCTTTTTCCCCTCCCCCCTCTTTCCAGCAATTCTCTAAGAGCCCCAGTCAAGCTACTCTGCTTGGGCCTCTTGCTTGTCTCACCATTTGAAATTTTGCCATAATTTCTTTCCCTTCCATCCACCACAGCATTTTTGTCAATAGCTTTTCATTATTAAAAAAGAAAGAAAAAAAGAAAAAGAAAAAATTCAATGAATGATAAACCATTTTTTTTTTCTTTGTTTTTGTTTTTAAAGACACAGGGGCATTTTGTAAGTGAAATATTTTCAATCATTAAAACATCTTCTGTATGACAAAAAAACCAGTTGTATTTGTTTTTTGATTATAACAAAACCAAATGGAATGTTTTTATTTTTATTTTATTTTATTTCATTTTGAATAAACCCACAAAAAAGAAAGAAAAAAAAGCAAAGCTGCTGTGTGACCGATTTTGAAGGCTCTTTTGGTTGTGTGTGAATGTGTGTTGTTTGCCTATGTGTCTCCCTTCCTTTCTGCATGATGATGATGATGATGCTTCAGCCATCATGAAGTGTGAGAGAGAATGTTAAAAAAAAAAAAAAAAAACAAAAAAAAACCCCTGATGATAATGGTAAAGCCATGACTGTCTTGCTGCTGCTGCTGTTTTGTGACATGGTATTTTATTTCTCAATGGTTAAACTGGAATCACCAATCCATTTAATGACTATTCCTTGGATGCTGCCTGCCTACCCGTCCACTTTTGTGGTGTCTTTCATTTGCCTGCCTGTCCAGTGATGTTGCTGCTTTCTCCCACCCTTACTCTATCCGTGTCGTGGAAGATCAAAGTTCAATGTCGCCAATTGCCACCTCCACCCACTTACTGCTTTAGGATTCTCTAGGAAGCCGTGTTGTGTACACAGTTTGATGGCGCACCCGATTTCACTAGGTTTTAATATGTCGGTGACTTTGAGCATTTTTTATTTGTTCTTCTGACATTAGTCTTGTGCTTAAAACCCTTTGCTTTTTGCATGACTGACTGGGTGGGTGGGGAAGGTGCATTTTAGATGCTGGACAAACATTAATTTGGAAATATTTCATCCCTCCGTTAGCAGTCTTTACAAATGACTGATTTAATATTTGTTAGACTGAAACAGTTTTTTTTTTCTTTTTTAAAGAAACAACAGTTTTTGAGTAAAACTTAAAATTATTTCATCTTTTTTCATTTATTCTTTTCCTTTTGATTTCCATCAGTTGCTTGCCCTCTTCTTACCATTCTCACAACAATTGCTTTTATTAAAAGCAATTATTAGCAAAAAAGCAAACTATTAGTTTTGTACATTTTGAAATTTATTATATTTTAATAAAGACACTAAAGACACCTTTTTTCTCATCATATAGATAAAATATAAAATAAAAACTGCTAACAGATTGTTTTATATAAATATTTCAAGCTTCAATAAATAGAAATGCCAAATTTTCAATTTGAAAGCCTTTGTGTAGGAGTATTTACTTTTTTCTTTATTTGAAGCAAGTCATTGATGTTGCTTCCATAGATGACAAATATTCCTCCTCCTCCTTCCAAATTTGACAATGTTCAAACTATTAAGAGAAGAAACTGGAGGAAATTTTTATTTTACAAGTACAGATTGGCTTTTTAGTTGGAATGGATTTTCTTTGATTTGCATTAATATTTTTTTTATTTTGTCATAAAGTGATTCAGCGCTTGAACTGAACTATGGGAATTGCTGTTGATTTTTTAAAAAAAAAAAACCTAACTTAGCAATTGCGAGGAGACTTAATTAGTGTCTCCTTTTTATTTGGAATTGTCGTAATTCCTCTTCAATCTGTTTCTATCTTTGGCTAGTGAAAGAAGAATATTCTTTTGCCTTTACTTTCTTCTCCTGGGTAGATTATGGTTAATGAGACTTATTTACTCAACCCTGCAGACTGAACTGTAGACCATATATGGCTTCCAGTCCTAATCAGTGAAGATAAGTGTCTGTTAGTTTTGGATGTTGTGACTGTCAATTCATTGCATGATTTTATTTATTTATTTTTTTTAATGTGGTGACCCTCCCCTCCTCCTCCTCTTATACGCACTTTATTTTATTTAAGATTCTTTTTCTATAAATTTAACAGTAGAAAAAGAAAAATGAATTTTTCAATAAAAGCTGAGTCTCATAAGTCGCACCTTTTAAAAAATGCAGGTAATCCAGACATTGACCTTTTCTCATTTGAGGCGCATATCCTGACATTGTCTTTTTAGCCTGATCGCAAATATTTTCCTTGTAAATGTTGTAAAGATTTTGTTCATTTTAAAAAGTGTCAACCTAATCAGGTTAATTAATCTGTTTAAATGCAATTATCTACATTGTCTTGAATTTTAATCCTCTTAGATGTGAAACTTAATTGCTTGCCTTTTCATAAGTGTAGTCAAGATAAACAGACATAGTCTGGGATTAAATGAAGAGGTTTTCTTTCTTTAGCAATTATTGTAATTATGATATCATTAAAAAGAAAACATTTTTTTTTCTCTCTTTTCTCTCTCTCTTTTTCAATGTTTACTTGATATCAATGACAGGTCTTAGCTACCAGTCTACATTCAGCTTGCACACATTGCAAGAAAATGTAAATATTTTTATTTAATAAAAGAATTCTTATTTTTAAAAAATATTCCCCTCTTATCTCTCCAAATTAAAAAAAAAAAAAAAAATCTTAAAAATTTCATTTTAAACTTTCAGTTCTTTGACTAAATTGCTTCTTGGAAGAATTATGTAAGAATTGAAAGTTTAAAATGGAATTTTTTAACAAATTAACAAGAAGCAATTTAGTCAATCATATTTTGGTTAAATATTTATGGCCTAGATTAATTCTTACTATCATTAAAATCTTTTGAAATAATTACAATCTTTGCTCATCCAATGACTTGGGCATATGTCTGTACACTTACAAATTGGAAACAGTGATGCTGGACTTGTCACTTGGAAAAGGAGAAATAAAAATGTTTACTTTATGACAAGTCTATAAGTAAAACATAAAGCAAAAAAAAAGGAAAACTACTTGATTTCTGTAATAAATCATTTTTGGATGACATTCTTTTAGTTATTGCTTTTAATTTAATCAAACTTAATTTGCATCTACTTAAATTTGAAACATTTTAAACTATATTTTTGTACTTGAATTTTTTTTTCTTTCTTTTAATAAACAGCATATACTGAAGTAATTTTTCAAATTTTGCTGTAGACAATTTTTTTTAATTAGTAAATTTGAGAAGTCAAATCAAAAATGTTAAATTCTCTTATTTTTATCATGACTCTTAAGTGAAGGTGTTCCTCAAGCATCAGGTAATGTCTAGGTCATTTTCTTTTTCTGTTAGACAATCAAGTTACTCTCTCACGTGAATATCTGACATCCCCCCCTCCCCGAAAGCACTTGAAGCCATGTCAGATTTTATTGACCAAATGGTTTGTTTCCATTTCAGCAGAATAGCTGTTTCAGTCAAAATCTCTACAATTTTGTTTTTTGTTTTCAGATTTTACTAAGTGATCTTAAAATTGAACAGGGGATGATTTTCTTTGACTGCATCCAGGTTTTTTTTTCTCTCTCTCTCTATCTGCATTAACTACTTACACATAGGATATTGAATGGGGCTGTTTGATGGTATAACCTTTTTGTAATCTGTACAAATTAAACATATCATCATAAACATATTGCAAGACTTAGTTGAATATGGCTCTTTAAACAATTAAAAGCTTTGTCAAATACAAAAGGCATCTGTTTTGTTGCCATGAGGTTCCATTTTTGGTTGTCTTCAGTCCATAAGCTGACTTGCAATTTTTTCCACAAATGTTACATGAATTGTTTGTCTTTAATGCCATTTTGTAATTGATTGTTTCCCTGGGGTATGATTTTGCATATGATTTAATTTTCCTGCTGTACTTGAGCAAAGCCTACTACAAATGTCACAGGTAAGCTCCAGCCTTATCACCTGTAGGGTCTGGAAGTTCCACATAAAGAACTTATCAGTTTTTTCGTTTCTTCTCAGAACTTTGAAAAGCAACTTTTGCATCGTGAACCTTGATACAATCATTTGCATAGACCTTACCTGCTCTATGTAGGTTCAGGGATTCTTTCAGGCCATCCTTATAGTTCTTCTTTGGCTTATGGGCTGGTCACTTTAACTCCCTTTGGAATCCTGCTGTTGGTTATGTGGGTAACATAACCACACCAATGCAAAAGGTTTGAGAAATATATATATATATATATATATATATATATGATATTAATAATTAAT